CCCCAAAACCCCAAAACCCCAAAACCCCAAAACCCCAAAACCCCTAGGTAATATATTAAAGTTGATTAAATATGAAATTGTTCTAGAAAATTTTTGAGACTGACATCTCCAGACAGTTAGTTACGAGCTTTTCTCCTCCTTTGGATCTTAGGAGCAAATTCTTTGTGGTCTCTTTTAATGTGAGCCTAGAAATTAGTTCTAAGACCTTACGTTTAAGTTGTACTTGCAGGAATATTTCCTAGCTCAATGTGGGCAATCATGCTTCTTCCTTTGTTCCATTGGAGTGTGGTCGTGGACTGACATGTGTCGCTCGTAGTTGGCCTTCTGGATGAAAGTCTTGCCGCAGTACTTTCATTCGTAAGCAGCTTCTTTTTCATGGACGCGGAAGTGGTACACCAGGTTCCAAGTCTTTTTGAATACCTTTCCACAGTTACTGTATTTACAGATATACAGCTTCCTGTTCTTTTCAGAGGTTTTAGGGTTGTCGATTATCTCGTATGGGTGCCCTTCAAGCACAGAGTAGTTGATGGATCTGAGCTGTTTGTGTTTCTTTTTAGATTCAGTGGATCCTTGAGTCTCATCATTGGTACTAATTGAAGAGGAACTTCCAATCTTGATTTCTGACCTCTCATTCTGAGAGGGAAGAAAAGACAGCATATCTTGGTCTCAGAAGCAGTAATCGCGGGCAATGATCTTGAGAGTCAATTCTTGGGATGACATAAGCTAAAAGTTCGTTTATATTTGGTTCAGAAATGTAGATACTTGGAATATTAAAAGCATTCTCGATCATTTCAAAGGCATGACAACTCAAAGAGGCCTCAAAAGTACAAATTTGTTGGAGTGACTAACAACCCTTATCTCTCTTGGGTCTAACCTCAAGTAAATATCCTTACCTCCTCTAATTTGGGGAAACAGCTTGCAATGTTTACTTGCATATTTGTTCTGGAAGTTTCCATAGAAATTAATATTATTATAATTCTCAATATTCTCACTCTATAAAGGGGTTTTGGGGTTTTGGGGTTTTGGGGTTTTGGGGTTTTGGGG